GAGGTTATGACGCTCCCACCAGAATTACAAAACGAAATTAATAAATTTTCAATCGATGGATTTGCAAGAAAGTATTTTGTAACTCATAAGAAAGGAATATTTCGAAGAAGAGTCCCAGTTGAGAAAATGTTGTTATTTCAAAAAGATTCAATCAGACAACCTTTACTTCCTCTAAATGAAAATATTCAAAAAGATGCAATAAAATGCTTTAAAGTTATTCGATATATTATGGGTGATAGATCAAGAGGCCGTCTAAATCTTAATAATAATATCAGCACTATTAACAATAATATTAACGGCGATATTAGTAGTGGTCCTCATAGTAAACAGAATCAACTACTAAGTATTCAATGGTTGTTGGATCGAGGCATTTTTCTTGGTGAATTGAGAGATGAAATCTATGTGCAAATTTATAAACAATTAAACAATAATCCAAGCAGGTGAAATTAAAAATACTTGTATTTTTTAGCAGTGTGTTTTTTTTTTTTTAAACCCCCAACTTACACATCCCATCTTTACATCACATTGTGTAGTGTAAGCATTAAAAAAGGTTGGGAATTATTATGTGTCATCACGATAACTTTTCCGCCATCAAAAAATCTAGAGAGCCATTTGATGAGATTTATTAGTGACAATCTCAATAAAAAAGAAAATCAGATCGATGTTTACAGTAAACATGTTTATAATCGATTGACAAGAATATGTAAAAAAGGTCCAAGAGGAAAAGTTTTGACCTTGGGTGAAATAGAAAGAGCAATGGTTGCACCTTTTAATCCATCAGTGTTTGGTGAAACTTTGGAATTTATAATGGATCTTCAGTCTCAAACTTTACCAACTCTTAAAATCCCAAGAATTTTACCATTTCTTGCTGATTCGATACTGGATTTAAGGGGTCAATCTATTGAAGGAATATTTAGAGTACCCGGTGATGCTGATTATGTAACTGAATTGGTATGTAATTAAAAATAATAGTAGTAGTAGTAGTAATGGTGATGTCAATTTATTTATTCAATTAATAATTCACCACCTACCTAGTTAATTAAAAATTTTTTTTTCCAAAATCTCAATTTTTAGAAATTAAGGATTGAAAAGAATAAATATGATATAGCCGGAATAACAGATCCACATGTCCCTGCTTCATTATTAAAATTCTGGTTAAGAGAATTGGCTGAACCTTTAATACCAAACGATTTTTATGAAAGATGTATAAATAATTCTGAAGATGCGGTTCAAACCATAGAAATAATTAAACAATTACCCGAGATTAATCGTAAAATTGTCATTTTTATCGTCAATTTTCTACAGGTACGAGTTTGTTGATTTTGAAGATAAAGCGGTTGATGGTGTATGGGCGGGTTTTTTTTTTTTTTTTTTTACGAAAGGTTTAAAAATCCTAATTTTAATATTTGTCCTTTTTCTTTTTACAAATACAGTTATTTGCAGAGCCAGAAGTTTGTAAAATTACAAAAATGCATGTAAGCAATCTTGCAATGATTTTTGCACCAAATTTCTTGAGATGTCCATCTGATCATTTAGGAGTGATACTAAAGAACACAAAATACGAGCAAACATTTATGAGAACTTTAATATTAAATTTAAAAAATGATCATATCGATCACGGTACTAGTAATGGTGTTGATAACAACAATAATAGTAATGTTAACGGTCACACAAATAACATTGATGTTGATGATAGTGAAGGTGCCGGTGGGTTAGATATTTTAAAAAATTATAAAAACCTAATTAAAAATAATAAAATTCAACAACAACAACAACCTTCATATTTGCAAGAAGGTACCGTTAGTGGTGGAAAACATCAATTAAGTTGACGAAGCTTTTTTGAATTTTTTTATTTTCTTTAATTAATAGCATTTTAATTAAAACATAATTTAATATACACATCATAACACAAACATATACATACATACCCATCCATACACACTCATATAATTATTATAATAATTCCTAATTTAATTTTAGTTTAATATATATATATATTAAAAAGTTATATATAAATAAAGTAAAATTCCCTTCTATGTAGTAGATCCAATTTGGTATGGATCATACATTACAAGGGTACCTATACTTTAGCGTTTTTTTTTGTTCAATTAATCAACTACAAAGCAATCATATATAAAATCAAGGTTTATTAAAATAAGACATTCATCTTCTTAATCTTATTGATAGTTATATATCATTTTTTGATATTCCAACGTATCCATGATAAATATCTAATAATAATAACACTATTATTAATAATACCATTATTATTATTATATATAATTTTGTTCTTGCATGTGACATAATAGAATGTACTTTAAATTCTTCAACTAATACTTCTTCTTCTCCTATTTGACTATCATTAATTATCATTATAATTGTATTTTTTACCAACTCTTATAATAACATTTGAATATTCATCATCAGTTTCCAAGATAATATTTGAAATTTTATTCGTTGATCACTATATAGTTAATCGCCAAAATTTTAAAAAATACAATAATTAAATAATCACACATATAAATTATTAACGAAGAGTGTGAGTGTGTGAAAGAAGAAAAATTCGGTTTCAATGTGATCGATTAGTAATCATATGTATATGGTATTCCTTCATTTGCTCTTATGTAACCTCTATACATCCCAGTTGTATTGAATGGCATAGCGACTATTAATCATCCATTAATTAATTTATTTATTAAACAAATCAAAGAAAAAGAAAGCAGCAGACTGAAAAATGAAACGTCCTTTACCATTTCCATATTTATCCAAGGCTATAACGCCACCAGCTCCATTAACTTTCCTAAGATTCTCAACTACATTAAATGCTGCCTCTTCGACACTTTCTTTCAAATATTTCATTCGTGACGAAACATCTTGTGCAACTCCATAACGAATAAAATACTTTTTTTTTAGGAAAAGAAGAAAACGTTATTATGTGTATTCTAATTCGTTCTTGTGTACTTCCATTCGTGCGCTTTGTCGTCTCATTTAAAATCCTCAATTTAACCATAATTATTAATGTTTATCATCACACAATTACTTACTTCACCGTTTCCAGTTCCACTTACACCACAAGTTTCATTATCTGCCCATGTGCCACATGCAATCAATGGCGTGTCTCCTATACGACCATCTTTTTTATTATTGAAACCACCTTTTTATAAAAAAAAAATAAATATTACATGGGTCATCATCATTAATCATCAATTGTCATCATCGTCGATCTCTTTTTACCTGTAGAAGTAGCAGTAGCAATTGTTCCATACTTATCAACAGCAACGGCTCCAACAGTTCCCATAGGACTTGAATCAAACCCTGGTGCTAGACTATACCAATCATCATCCTTTCCACCTTTCTTTTTCTTTTCTAAACCTTCTAAATGTTGTTTCCAACGTTTCTCGGTCCAGAAATATTTAGGATCCACCAATTCCAATCCATTAACTTTTGCATAGTTCTCTGCTTCAACACCACCAAGAAATACATGTGGGTTATCAGCATCAAGTAAAAGTGTTTTTGCTAATGTAATTGGGTTTTTTACAGTGTGAAGCAGTGTGCTTGCTCCAGCCGGATGATCCATTGTTCCTACCATTATCGAAGATTCTAATTCATTCTAAAAATAAAAAAATAAAAATAAAAAACAAAAGAAGAATAAGAAAATTTATTAAATTGTTTTATATTAAAATAATAATAATAATAATAATAATGTTCGTATGCTTACTTTTCCTCCAATAGTAAAAACTGCACCTTTACCAGCATTAAAAAGTGGACAATCTTCCATTACTCGAACAGCTGCCTCAACAACATCAATCGCTTTACCGCCATTCTTTAACAATTCATTTCCAGCCTTTAATGATTCTTCCAGTGCAATAAGGTATTTTTGTCTTTCTTCAATTGAAAGATTTTCACGTAATAAGGCTCCTGCTCCTCCATGAATTACTAATGTCGGCCCATGATTCATTTCTTTTTCTTTTTTGCATTGATTTGATTTTAGCTGATTGAATAAATCAATAAAATAAAATAAAATGGGTAATGAGTGGTTGAAATAATAAGAATTCTTTTCCTGGATAGATAATTAAACAAGCCACCTTTTTTTTAAAATTATCATTATTATCATTATCATCACCGTCATTGATTATCTGTTTACTGTCATTATCACTAATATTACTATTGTTTAAATATCTAATGATATCATTAATAATAGTTGAGAATAAATCATTTCCTAAAGTTGTAAAACATCCATAATTTGTTTTCATTTTATAATAAGAAATAAACCTTATCAAAAGATCATCATTTTTTGCTACATATAGATGTATAAAAATAAAAATATTCTTCTTTCTCTTGTTTACTTTCTGATGATTTATTTAATGACATTTTTTCATTGCTTCTTTTAATTTTCTTTTAAAATTTTTAAAAGTTCGGAAAGATAAAGTTGCTGTGGCTCATTGAAGAAAAGGAACTTTTAATATATCTGTCAAAACAAACATTCAAACTAACAATTAATCGATTTATCAATTGCAAAATAAATAACTACGAAAAAATGCAACCAACATTTTTTTATTTGCGATTTCCATTGTTGTAATCACGATTTACGAATTATACAACCGGGGTATATTAACAATGGAGATGATTTATCCCGTTATCCCGGAAAATACAATAATTCATATATCTACACAAAAATATATCTCCAGCTCCGATGCCAGCTCAAACCCCAATTTCGCCCCCAGTTGATCAAACTATATATAAAAAACTCGAAAAAGCAATTTTGACTCTCAACAATGAAATCAATAAAATGCGTACTGAGGCGGAATGGAGAAGTGAAGCCCGAATTGGAGGTTTGTGAAATAATTGCAAATTTAGACGTGTAATTCCTCATATTTTATTTAACCAAACCACGTTTCTTGATTAGGGCAAGCATCTGCACAAATATATCGATCGATCTGAATATTAACGAGAGAAAAAGTTCTCCCACGAAATTATATAATGTCTTATCCGAAGAGGTAGTGGTTAGCCCAGCCACTAGAAATCACCACAACGCACCTCATTAGATAAAATCGAAGCTTGGGTTGAGAGAGAGGGTAAGAAAAAAGATAATTCCATTACAATTAGCAGTAGTAGTATAAATGATTTTTCGAATAGCAATAGTAGAAATATAATTTTAGATGATAATAATGAAAATAATGATAATGATAGCTAGTAATCGTGAGCCTAAAGAATAGATTGCATAATAAATGGCTTTGGGTCCTGTGCATTCCTCCCATTTCATATAGATATATATACCATAAATATCCGACCACTTGCGCTGTGTAACGTCAAATGAAAAAAGTACTTACTAAGTAAAACACGTTTTCTTAAATAAAACCTTTACTGCTATACTAAGTAAACTCATATTTGATATCAAAACTCTATATTAAGAAAATTTCGAATAGTTCAGTATGGTATTAATGGAAATATTTAGCAAATCATCCAAAAAAGCAAATTTCCGATTGAATTTTTACATGTAATAAAAGGTCAAATTTTTTTGTTGTAATGTATATTATTACCTTAATAAAACGTGCTTAACGTAACAGATCACATATATTTACAATACGATGTCAGCATAAATTAGTTTGTGAAAAGGGCTTAAAAAAGTATCCGACCACCCCGTAATTTTATCATATAAAGCACTTAATAAAGTTGACAAAGTACAAATTTTAAGGCTTTACGTTTTGTTGTCTATACTTGATCAAATTTTCTCAAATTTTAACCATATATAATTCACGGTATTTTAAGTGGACTTACTTAATGACATAATCCATAATTCAACAGAGTTTTGAACCTTTTTACTAAGCTCAAAGTTTTCATAAAAATCACGAAATTTTTTGCCTAATTTAAAATTTTCATTCTAAATTCATTAATAATGCAAACTCGACGAAACTTTAAGTTTATATTCAAATTGACTTTAAAAATATGTTTACTTAACGCACCAGTCCCGGTTTGATTAATAAAATTTTAAACTGCGTGAGGTATAAGTTCCCCAATTATTAAAATGATCGTCAGGTGGTCGGATATTTATGGTAGGTGAGTGTACATGTCAATAAAATGATTTATGTGTTGTAAATTATATAATATTTATTGATCACATTATCCTTTTACACTTACTATTTGGAGTGAATTCTGATAATTCCCCCAACATTTGAGACGATAAGTTTTTGTATTGACATAATTACCACTACCCCATTTACCTTCTATATTATCTCTTATCATTATATTTTCTTTTTTATGATCTTTATTACGTTATGGGACATATATTTATATAGTAAAATCATCATTTTGATCAACCACATTTCAACAGTGGTTTATATCTATGATCATACTTCCATGGGACAAGTAATGATGACAAAATGGAATTTAATATGATATAACAGGATGATATTTTCAGGAACAATTTAAATCACAATTAGAATTTCTTTATTGTACGTGATTTATTAATTTTAAAATGAATAATTATTACATATTAATTAAATCGTATATATTTAATAATTCCCTATATTTAAAATTAACAATATATATTTAAATTCAACAATTTTTATTAATATCCTATACCTCCAATAGAAAGAGAAAAATAATATAGAATCCATAAATTATGTCGTAATCCCAGCGGAATTTAAAAAGTTGGTCTACCAAGTGTTATAAATGTCGGAAGTAAGTTATCACACTCTACTAGACATGGAAGGATGGTTGGGATGTTCTTTTCGAGTAATAATTGATTAATAGAATGAATTCTCCTAACAACATCAGTTATTAATTTGTTTGCCATTAAGATTCCTTTGCACAATTTATTTACCATTTGTATTGTCCTTTGTTTACAAGTGGTATCTCTAATGACTTCACCAGGCACATTCGATAAAATGGCTTTATCTTACGATCTAATACATATATATCCATTTTTGATTCGTAAAAATGTATCATTACATGTTTCAATTCATCCATCATGTCTTTTAATAACTGATCCGAGGCATCGAATCTCTGAGTAAAAAGATATACACATGTAAACTCGATAAGTCGGTCACTTGATAAGTCGGTTTACTCGATAAGTCGGCCAAAATTTTCACCTCATTTTCTTAATATTTAAGTAATTTAATTCGATAAGTCGTTTACTCGATAAGTCGGTCATATGAGCTCACCTTCACATGACCGACTTGTCGAGTTTACATATGTACATTGTTCCACACGTCTTTTGAAAATTTTCCGAGTCTTAATTCATCTTCCCAATAATGTTTCCAATCAAGTGAATATGGTGGTCCATTGCTTATTTCGCAAAACATGAACTCCCATTTGTAATTAGGAGATCTAAAACTCAGATACCATTAAATCAGGCAACGCGTTGGTCCAGACTGCCCTCCGTTCCGATTTTGGGTGGATTCAGATGGTCCTTATTATTTGATAAATCAACAGAAAAAAAAAATCAAAATTAAAAAGTTTTTATTTAATAAAAATTCACAATGAAAAAATAATAATAATAATAACCATTATATTCGATATTGATCCCCTTAATGTTATATAATAGTAAATCACAAATTGATTTAACCACCTGATGCGAATACGAATATTCGTTAATTTTTGGAGATTTTTGCCCATATAATGGTAGTTGCCAAGCATATTCCAGTTGGGCCAAAAACGTTCCTAGGCAATTATAAAATTTTTGGTGCTCCCTCAACCGTTAGGTGCAGTACAATTTCCATACTTAATATGACTGCATATAAAATTTTTTTCTTCAATCGCCAACTTCATTTTATATCGATGTAGTTCAACTCTACTCCATAATAATTCATTTAAACAGTTTTGTTTCACAATGAGGTCAAACAATCTTTTATGATAATTTTGTAAAAAAGTATGATTAATAATGCCATTAGGAAGTAAATCTTGTGGATCTAATTCTTCATTTTGTATGTTATCGCAGACTATTCTCGTGGTTGTTGACATGCGTGGATATATCGTTACGAGTTAGCAAAATAAAGATTAATTTTATTCAAATATAATTTAACAAAATATCATAGTAGGCTTACTTACATTTGAGATTTTATTTTTAATCTCATAGCTGTTAAATTCTACTAAAGTGATATCATCAGACTCTTCGCTTGTGGTATCCTATATATCATCAACTAAAGCAACTGAATCATTTTTCTCACCGCTATGATCACCAACATCGTCCTCCAAATTACAATCATATTCGTCGTTATCAATTATTTTTTGTTCAAATTACTATCACAACCACCATCATAGTTGTTGAGATTTTCCACCAATCTTTGAGAATAGATTTATATTTATTCTAAAAAAGTTATATCAAATATCAATAATTAATTAATACTGTAAATTATTATATAATTTGTTCTAGTCTTCAATGCCACGCGTTCATAAAGTACAAGCCTATTCGGATCTTAAACGCATTCCTTTGGATTTTACTTGACACGTAGTCTTTCAAATCCTACTTCATGAGACATATTTTCTTCGAATCTTACTTGACACGTAGTCTTTTGGATTCTACTATGTTCTTTGGATTTTGCATCAGACAATATTCTTTCGGATCTCTCAGAAGTCTTAATTATAGGTATGCGTACAGAAACATCTATCCTTTTTGGCCATTATTTTCTATGGGCTTGTAAATTTTACATTGATTCTAATCATATGCATTTTAACACTATTAAAACAAAAAAAAAATACGTACTGCTACCCAGTCATGTTTTGCCTTAAGAAGTTGTTCTTTTTTAGGAAAGTTATTGTTAATAGAATTTGTAAGAACTCTTTTATAGTTTGTGTTCTATATGTAAAAGTTCCTAACCGAATCTGCTGTAAAAATAGTTAAAGGGATTTAGGTATTTGGTAGAAATTTTTTTTTTAAATATTCGATATTTGACATGAATAATATATCCTTAGAGAAGTTTTATGTAAAATGAAGATGTTGTGTCGTTGAAGTAGTAATTAAAATTCTCTGACTGCATTATTCAATTTTTTTGTTAGACTCTTTGAGTTTTTTTTTGCTTCAGCTTTGTAAAAAATCCACACATTTTCATTTTTTTCTTTGCAGCCCATTTTATCAATCTTTCCCACTTAGTTTTAAAGTAAGTTTTTGTTTGAATTTTACAATTTTTTCTTTTACGAGTTAAAAAATTAATCGATTGACCATCCTAATGGAAAAGATTTAGTAGTCGAGTCTTCACTAATGAGGATAAAGTGGAGTTCCTTAAAAACCATTTCCGAAAAATAAAATGGATAACATTAAATCTAACACATTAAGCTTAGTATTAGGTGTCAGTTTTAACAATATTATCCTTTAACAAAAGTTGAAACAGATAGAAACAATACTCCAGAAAAAAATCCAGAATCAACTGAAACAAAGTTGTCAACCCCTGGAAAGACAAGAAAACGTGTGGTAAACTTTGCATCAGACTCTACGTTTGCACAAATAAGATTTTTTGATAGTGTAACTGTTTCTAAAAAATCCGAACGAGCAACCATACCATGGTACAAAACACACAACACAATCAATAAAGAAACAATTGCCAAATATTTTATGGTTATTTATTTTTATTTTTTTTGACAAAGTTCTAAAAAAAATCTAGAAGCACGGATTTTTATAACCACAATCTTCAGAACTTACTGATGTAATTTTTTTTATTTGATTTTGTTTATCTTGATATACAGCTCCAAGTTTTTTAAAGTAAAATGAGCATAATTTCTAAGCTAAAAATATTCTTTGCGAGATACACATACGAATATTCTTAATGATAATTTCCGAAATAGCACTTTTGTTTTAAAGTCTGATCTAGCAAACTTGTCAATAGTTTAACGAACTTGTTGAATGAATCTAATTATTATTATGTAATGGAAGTTGGATAGAATGATGTCTAATATTTCGAAAATAAGATTTTTGTATTTTATCAACAATTGAGTAAAAAGGTTTGAATATGGAATTATTTGAGAAAAAAAATATTCAATTTCTAATATTTTAATTACACTAAACAAATTGTATAACCTTTTTTTTTTCAAAAGATATATTTACAATGAAAACCTTCTTGAAGCTTGCAACGAATTAAACTTTGATTTTACAACGCGTTGATTATCTTGATTCTTCCATTAATATATTTTAGATACATAGATTTGTAAATATGCATACAAAGTAATATTATATTATAAAATTATTTTGCAAATAAGAAAATAAAAAGAACCATCACCAACAGTCTCTCAAAAAAAAAAGTAATATAAAATAAATGGATCTTTATGAAAACATACAATTATAATAAATAGAAGAGCAGGATGAAAATGATTTATATAAATTTTGTGCATTAGATTCAAAGACATTAAGAACTGACTCATTGACTTTGACCCAAGTTTCAAGTCTTGATTTAGCTTGCTTCAAGTAATCTTCATGAGGAAATTGTCTGATCCCTGTCTCATCACATGTCGAAAGTATGTGGACTTGATGATTTGAATCATAACCAGTATGCTTTAAGTTGATTATGGTCAATATGGACTTTGGTATTAATAAATTATTCAAATTAATAAAGAATGACTTATTGAATTCAATGAACACAAGCTGCCCACTTGTATCTGTAGCTATTGCAGTTTGTATTTCTATAGTGATTCCATATTGTATCTTCTCCACAATTTCCCCAACTACCAACACAATTACTACCATATCATGTTCTTTTTGATAATGATGATGATTTGTCCTCATTGTCATCTCTAATTCATCACAACTTGTAACAACTCGTAGATTATATAATGAATTTCTGATTTTGTTTAAATTGGCTTGTTGTTCTCTCCATATTGTTGTATGTCCTATTGATGTGAGACGTATTAAAGGAATTGTTGTTGATAAACTTGGATCATATGATTGATTATTGGCCACCATCAATGAATATATGTGATTTCTTTGTCCTTCACAAATAGAATCATATAAAGAACTGCTAGGACTCCATATGGTGATCAATGCTTCTCTTTTAACCCTGGATCGAACTTCTCTAACAGTTTCATGATAATCACACACACGTACTTTAAAGAATGGAACAACAGAACGAACACACTTCAAATCCATTGATTCCAACTGCTCATTAAGCCAATCATTCTTTTCATTTAAATCACTTATCGTTTTTCTATTCAGCCAATCATTTAACCACCTAATCTGATCAGAGCTCAAATATTCAAATATCCTATTAGAATCCTCAATATTCTCATGTAATAAATTAAATATTTCTTCTCCAGATGTGAGACTATTCACAAATTGTTTAGTTATTGCTTGTTTTTGCCTGATATTATTATTTGCTGAATCATCACCACCTATTCCTACTTTATGATAAATTTCTAGTAAGGATAACACCTTTTCCTGCATCTGTTCTGTAAATTTTCTTTGAGCCAGTTCCTCTCCTTTTTCATTACGCATAATATATATTCCATCTTTAGTTGTTTCACGGTACATCAAAGGATATTTTCGCATTACCACAACATCAATGGCAAAAATAAACCCACCATCTGGGGTAAGACTATTTAACAAAGCAAAAGGTCTAAACTTTCCAAATCCAAGTTTGGAGTTCCAATGAGCTGGTTTTGTTGAATTTCCTGATAATTTCAAGTATATGGAATTTGTTGCTTCTAATACTGATGTTTTGCCAACAGATTCTCCATAAACTTTTGCACCACAAATTTCAAGTTTGGAGCCTATTTTTATTTTAGATTTCATTATAGCTCGTTGTAATGGTGGATCAATACATGTATGAATCTTATACCAGCCATCAGTCAATTCAAGTGAAAATTTTGAATCAATAGGAATTTCTTTATTAGTTGATGTATAAGGGAAAGGTAGTGATGATGAATAAGAAGTTGATGACAATGAGGAAAATAATGGTGTTGATGACAATGAAGAAGATAGTGGTGTTGATGACAATGAAGAAGATTGTGATGTTAATGGAGTGTTACTATCATCAATTATATTTGATACACAAAGAACAATAGGCCATGATGGTGAAGTATCACCTTCTACAATTAATTTAATAGAAGATCTGTGTGCACAATTTATTTCTCTTTCATATCTATATCTTAATTGATCAAGTACTGTATCAGATGATAAACCAGTCATGAAACAAATAAGGATAAGATCTAATCATACTAGTTATTTTCCATACTATCCATTTGTAATGATCCAGCACCCATTGTTCATCTATCAGTTTAGGATTAGCACCATATTCAATTAAACATGATAATGCCTCATTTGGGTCCCATGTTTTTTGTTGTAGTTGGGAATCTGATTTTGAAAAAAGTCTTGGCCAAACGAAACTATAATGAGTGGCATTAGATGGATTTATGTATAAAACATCTGTTGGTATTTCAAAATTTAATAAGTTTTGTTCAGTAAATTTCAAAGGATGATGATATACCAAGTTTCCCATAGTGTTTCTAGGTACAGATGATGACAATTCAAAGAATTTAGTGCTAATATTATCATCATCATCATTATTATTATTATTGATTGATGAAGAGATTGTTGCCTGTGATGATAAAGATGAAGATTTTATATTTTTTTTTTATATTTTTTTTTATTGTTGTCATTAATTTTATTAAATTGAGATGTTGAATTTTTAATATTTTGTAATGAGTGCAGTGATTTGAGTGGAGTTCTTGATTTTAAATTAGATTGATGAGAAGATTTGATTGATGATGATTTATAAATATTTGAATCATATTTAATTGAATGTCAATTTTTTCTTGATTTCTTTATATTACTAGGTGTTTCATTTAATAGATTATCCTTACTATTGTTGTTGTTTTTATTATTATTATTTTCAACACTTTTTATAGGTTTTCTAAACTTTTTTATATCATTATCTTTTAAAGGTCTGATATTTGAAGAAGATTGTTCAGAAACATCCAAATGCTTGTATGCTTCTTCCGTTGATTCTTTTGATACAGGATTAATTCCTCTTCTAGAACCAGTGGAAAATCTAGATATTCCCAAAGTATTATTTGATATATTATTGGAATTAATAGATGGTGATGATGATTGGGCAGGAATGTCCAAACATTTGTATGCTTTTTCCATTGATTCTTTTGATACAGGATTAATTCCTCTTCCAGAGCCAGTGGAAAATCCAGATATTCCTGAAGGATTGTTTGATATATTATTGAAATTGGTAGATGGTGATGATAAATCAGTAGGAACATCCAAAAACTTGTATACTTTTTCCATTGATTCTTTTGATAAAGGATCAATTTCTCTTCCAGTGACAGTGGAGAATCCGAATATTCCTGAAGGATTATTTGATATATTATTGAAATTGGAAGAAGAAGAATGTTCAGAAACATCTAAACACTCATATGCTCTTTCAAATGAATCTTTAGATATGTTCACAAGCTTTTTCCCAGATCCAGTAGAAAATTCCGAAAATTCCACATTACTGTTACTATTATTGTTGTTGTTATTGTTGCCTTCATCACCATCACTGCTATTATAATTATTGTTATCATTATTATAATTATAAATATTATTGTTAAAATAATTATTATCATTATCATAATTATCATTTAAAAAGCTTTTATTGTTGTTGTTGTTAACATTATCATTATTCATAAAATTTTGTGACATACTAATATCATTGTTGTAATTGATATAGTTGTTGGTATTCTTATAAATATTATGAAAAGGTGTTGTCATTGTTGTTTCTTGCTTCTATAAATAAAATTTGTTTTGTAAATACGCGTAAAAGTATAAATTATGATAATCATTGAATTGTTACACGCCTGATCATATTAACACAATTATTTTTAAAAGTTTATAGCCGTATCGGTATATTGTTTTGTAGCTTAATATTAATACCTAATATTTGATATATTCGAATATTATATATATTATATGAATATTTGAATATAATAATAATATATAAATTAATTTTAATCATGAACAAAGTCATGCACAATGTTTTAAACAACAATAATTTTTATTTGAATAAACAAATAATTTGATAAAACAGCAAATAAAATGAATAATTGGGTAATTCAAATAATTTAAATAAAATGAGTAATTCAAATAAAACAAATAAAGTGAATAAAACAAGTAATTCAAATAAATCAGCAAATTATTTGAATAAAGCAGATAATTCAAATAAATCGGTGAATGATTTTGAATAATAATTGTATTACTAATATAAACTCTACTCTTATAAACAAGACCCAAAATATTAATATAAACTTTAATTAAACAGTTGATTGATTGTTCTTTCACTTGGTCAAAAAGTGACATTATTTTTCTTGTAGAAAAATAAAAAATATTATTCCTAATTTGGTATGTAGTACCAAATATTCATGATTAAAATCACTACAGTTCACTCTCTTTATAACAGATCATTGGGATTAGAAAAAATATCCTTTATTATTATTATCATAGAGAATCTGGCATAGAAAAATTGTCAATAATTACATGTATGAAGTCATTTGCAACATTAACATTGATGAAACACAAAAATAAATGTTTATTATTACTTTATTATTACATAAAAAATACTATATGATGTTAATATTAAGAAAACCATCTAATTTAGAATTGAATCCTATTTTTTGGCTTTAAGTTGTTGCTAATTCTTTGTTTATTGGAATCAGAGTTGTCTGTTTTGCTAAACAAACTTAAGATTTTCTCTTATTTAATGACATTTTAAAAAATAATGAAACAAAATAAAATAATTTAGAGCTTGAATTTGTCAGATTTAAACCAAGAAATTCAATTGTACATTTTATTTGTTTTCTATATACTTTAGTTCAGTATATCATGGCTTATATCATTATTTATTTATTAAGATTTAAATAATCATAAATTAAATTTGTAGAGACCTACATTTTTTTTATTATTTTTAGATCACGTGAATCCATTATATTAATATATATAGTAAATTTACATATATACGGTGCAGATCATCTATAATCATTAATTGCTTATAGTAACAATTGGTTAACTTCAAAATACTAAAACAAAAAAAA